GTATTTTCCCACTGATTTTTCTAGAGAGAGTGGAAGGGAGGGGGAGAGACAGAGAGAGAAACATCAGTGTGAGAGAGACCCATTGATTGGTTGCCTCCCACACGTGCCCTGATTAGGGCCGGGGATAGAGCCTGCAACTAACTGTATTCCTCTCATGTTTTTGCTCATGTGGGCAAGTGTATTTGTAGGATAAATTTCTGGATGTGGAATAGCTGGGTCAAGGGCACATCCATGTATGATTTGATAGCTATATCCCAATTGCCCCTAAAGATGTTGAGCCATTTTGAATTCTGCTCCTCTCCTCCCTCCTGTTAACATATGCAGTTGCCTGGTTCCCTCAGACCCTTCCTGACAGGGACATTGCTCAGTCTAGTTGCCCTTTCAGAGTCTGTCTTCATTGGGCTGCCTAGACCCATGTTAATTGTAATCCTTGGGCCTTTTTCTCACTGTGATTCTTAACACACTGGGCTCTGCCCTGTCACTGGCAGGTCAGATGAGAACTTATTCAACCAGCTCCGTGGTGGCACGAGTAGGCAGCTTGGGGTCAGTCTTGCCTCTTGAGAGATCCCGGGCAGTCACTTGGAATTTATTATGTAGCTTTACAAACCATTACATTCCCAAAGCATGTAAGTGCAGCATGGTGATATTTCAGAAAGATATTCCCCGTGAGCGGACCATTCCCTGCTTCTGTATCCTCATCACGTGAATTGGTATCTTTCTTTGATACGTATTTATATTCGAAACCCATTTATGTTATCAGGAGGATTTAGGGACCTCTGTGTGGTACTTGTTGCTAGCTGTATATAACACATGCATTGAAGCCAGGGCTGGTGATGACTTATTTTCCTCTGGAGAGACCTGTGTAGTTTTGTAATTTCTTGAGTTGGCAGCTGTGTTTAGTGTTTAGCGGGCACAATTTATAATTCTTTGGAACTCAGAACTATGTCATTGAAATGGCGTGCGAGGAAAATATGATCACTCAGGTCATTCAAGTGACTGCAGAAACAGCGATATGGATTCTCTGGTTACTGTTCTGTGGCGTTGACCTTATGGTTGTGGTGGACATGTGTCCAGATCTTCATCAGAAGTGCCCGGGAGTTAGAGTTCAGTATCATGGTCAGTGTCATGTCACTGCAGTTTCATTCCCATTAATTAGGTCAGTTTGGAAAGTAGGTCCTTGTACTTGCAGGAGAATGAAGGAGGAACTCTCATCCTCTAAGCCAGTGGTCGCCAACCTTTCGGATCTCACGGACCACCAGTGGTCTGCGGACCATTGGTTGGCGACCGCTGCTTTAAGCTACATAAAAATTATCCCCAAATTTGAATTGTCCCCAGATCTAACTCAAGATGAAAGGCATTAAGCTTATCGATGTGACGGTAGGTCTCCAGGGTGGGAGATGACTTGTGCTGGCAGATTCTGCAACTTGTTGGTTGGTTCCTAACGACGCTTTAGTGTTCTGTTCTTGGGGAGGTCAGGGAGAGGGAGTCACCATCTCTGTGGCCTTTTAATTGTGTTCGGCTACAAGTAACATTTATCTCCAGTGTTTCACAATTCTAAATTAATAATAACAGCCCATTAGAAATCACAGCTGCTGTAAGCCCCAGCTCCTTTGGGCATCTTAATAAAAATGATAATTAAAATAATAATTTACAGTAAATGGGGACACTGCCCAAGTAAATCCACAGTGTGGAGAAAATTAAAAACTCAAACCAGAAGGAACCTTCCTGGCGTTGGGGAGAGAAATGGCCTTGTTCTTAGCTCCCACTCCAGTGATTGCTGGGCCTGGATCCCAGCCCGACGTGCTTCATGCCTGAGGAATCGGTGACTATCTCGTCCATCCAACCTAGCAGTCTGTCTCACTGGGTGTGGCCCCTGTTCCCTCCCCTTCCACTGCCACACACACCCCTCTTCCCTTTGTAGTCCTTGTCTGGGTAAACCAATTGGCAATCTCACCTGTGGCCCAGCTCCATCCTTGGAGACCTTGGGTGCTCTCTCTAAGGTAGACGCAGGCAGTCTCAGGCTTTGTAGATTCGTGCTTCCCAGATGGTTTTCTGGTTTCCCCTTAGCTGTTGAGTATCAGAGGCTCCTCACCCCTCCTGGCTGGTCACAAGGCTTTAGTGTCTTCATGAGTCCCTCTTCCATGTGAGAACCAGAGGCATCTTCAATGGATAACATAACAATAACTGGTAGTGCTACTCCCTGCCCAGGTTCTTGTACACACTCCCTGCCACATGCAAAAGAGCCCCACAGCTTTATTTTGGGGCCCAGGGTTTCATCTCCCATTGCGTTTCCTGTTCCTCGTTCTCATGGGCCCATCTCCAACCCTTGACCTTGTTTTGCCATGCTCCCCATCTTTACTGCTTGTCTGGTTCACGTCTATATTCTTTGGCCCCAATGTGGTTCCTGGTGCAGAGGTCCTGCTACCGCGCAGAGACACTTGGGAGATGCGCAGGAGGGTAAGGAACTTGCACCATGTATCCACATTCCTGCAGAGCCCCGAGTCCTCACCCTGGCGTTTCTCTGCGCTAAGTCTCCCCGGCCCAGCTAGTCCCCATCTTCTCATGCTTGAGAGCCTAGGGTACGAGATGGCCTAAGTAACATCTCAAGCAGATCTGTGTGAAACATTCTTTGAGATTCTGAGATTCCTATTCGGATGTGAACTTTCTGATTGAAGTTTTTTTGTCTGAGCCATTGTCTCTAGCAGGAATCTGCCCCAGGTAATGCACATCTGAGCATCAAAGGCCCACCCTCCATGGCCGGACCGGTATATCAGTAGTGTGGGTGGTGACTGAGGCCTTTAGGATGGTACTAACCCCATGCAAGGGGATTTAGGGGCCCAGTGTAGCAAGCTTTTTCAGAGAAGTTGGATATCTACTTTTGGATATGGAATCTCCCTGATTTTTTTAATGCTGGTAACTAATTCATATTAGGAAGGAAGGAATGGAGGGAAGGAGGGAAGAAGGGAAGTAGTAAAGGAAACAAAGGGTGGACCAAAAAAAATGTCCCGTGGGCTTGATTTATCCTGTGATTACCATTCTAGAGAATGGAAACTAGTGTAAGATAAACAGGTATTTAATATTTTTGGTATGTTTTACCTCTTATGGTACTTTCATGTCTGTAGGCAAAGCTTAAAACCCAGGACGGAGATATCAAACCTCCATGGGCACTGAGTTTTCCCACTTGGATTGGCTGGAACAAGTGCTGGAAAACTGACACCGCCCGCTGTTTTAAAATGTGTTCCCTTATTTTTTTTATATTATTAACTTAGATATTCTTCTGAAAGCACTCTTTCCACCTCTGTGCAGTTAAGCTGGTTCAATCTAAGCATTGTCATAAAGTTAATTTTTTGTAAGACGAATCTGGTTATTAAATTTAGTAAACCACTGCCTTCAATATTTTGTGCAAACTTTGGCATCATGCAGAATTGGCTTAGCTTTCTACATTTAGCTAATTAAACGGGAGTGGGGGATGCTGTTCTCCTGGACTTCTCTAGGACTTTCACAGTAGGTAGCATTATTCAACTTTTTTTTTTTAACTCCACACTCTAGAGATACGATTTACTATAAAAATGTTATGGTCCTTCCTGTTAAGCCATCATCTTTTGAAATATCCATGCTTTGTTTCTGCTCCAAAGGCAGTTGTAAAGCATCAGGAGACGAAGTTGCCTGTCGAAGCTTTAAGAGTAGACTAGCGGTGTGTGAGGCATTGCTCATTTAAGGAAGATGGAAGACCCACAGTGCAATTTCCCATGACACAGGGACAGATGGCTTCACCATAGCCACAGTCAGGAATTATCTAGGGAGCCCGACGGGTGTAAGCTTGCACCAGCAGTCCATTGCTGCCATCATGTCAGACATGTTCTTGCTGGTAATAAAAAGTCCTTTGCCAGAGGTTATTTTGTCAAGTGAAGTATCATGACTTGACAGGTTTGTTTGGGAAAACATATATACATTTTTAATCCTCACCTGAGGATATGTTTTTTTATTGATTTTAGAGTTTTAGAGAGAGAGTGAGACAGAGAGAGAGAGAGAGAGAGAGAGACAGACAGACAGACATTGATGTGAGAAAGAAACATCGATCAGTTGCCTCCCATATGTGTCCCCACTGGGGATCAAACCCACAACCTACATATGTGCCCTGACCAGGAATCAAACTCATAATCATTTGGATACGAGATGACACTCCCAACCAACCAAGCCACCTGGCCAGGGCAGGAAAAGAAATTTTGATAGGAAAAGTGCATGATCCCCCCGACAGATTTCTAGGTAGTGTCATTCAAATCTGCAGTGGAATCTTTGCAGGATTTTAATATGTATTCGTTAGAAAGGAAGTTAGAGGGTCATCAGAACTGTTTGAAACAATTTGGATTGTTTTATAGTAGTCCAGAATTGTAGCTTATTAATAATCTGTAAGAGCCATTCATTCCTTTGGCAGACTGAGTGTTATTCCCTTGGGATACAGAGATGGAAAAAGGCAAAAATTGTAAGGCGTTTGCCGTTAACCTGGTAAATTAGATAAATAAAGCCCTGCCTGGCCCAGCATTGTGTCCATAATCTCTCAATCCACTGGAAATATGGTTGCTAACGAATGACTAAGCATTGTGTCCACCATGTGCCCCTACTCCCCTACATCATTTTTTACATAGTCTGATGAAAATGTGCTGAGAAATATTTCTGATAATCGCTCTCACCTGGAAATTTCACAGGGACACAGAATCCATCATTTTCAGTAAGATCGGGGTGTATGAAGTCCTGGGTTGCAAGTGGATTCATTTTTGGCCACATCATATAACCTCCATTTGGCTGTCAGCGTTTCATTAGCCTGATGGATGCAGCCCGTCAGTCAGCAAGATTTTTTCCCATTCCCACTCCCATCCAGTTCGGAACAGTGGTGCTACACAACCTGGTTGAGAACCAATAGGGTGATGTGTATGGTGCTCAATAAAGGCCATTCATCATGATTCAGTGTTTTCTAATGTTGACTTTCCTTTAAACCATAGGGTTTGAAACCGCCAAGTCTTTTGCCCTCCATGGTGCTCACGTGATCCTGGCCTGTAGGAATATGAGCAGAGCCAATGAAGCCGTGTCACGCATTTTAGGAGAATGGGTAAGCAAGCACTTGACTGTGTCTTTTCATTGTCAAATACACACGCCAGGAGGAACACATGGCGGTTGTAGTGCAGTGCGTAAAGTTTATTGCTCTTGGAATAATGTTTTCTTTAGATGGAAAGCCACGTTCACTTTGTTTACTTGATGAATGGAAGGGACAGGCAGGCTCGCCATCATCCACACTTGTTTACAGTTCACTGTCAGTGTCATCTGCTCTATAGTCAGAGGTTGGCGAATGTTTACTCATTTAGCTCATGTATTAAGAAAAATAAAGTGTGGTTAACGCCCCTGAATACAACCAAGAGCTTGTTATGCTTATGGATTTTAGGGTGAGGAAGGAGCAGACTTTAACCCTGTCTCTGGGTTTTGCTTTTTTATCTCTGTGTAGGTGTTGGTGTTGATACATCTAAGAGGAAATAGTCACTGAGGGCTTGCAGTTCTCTTGGGGCTCAGGATATAGCCTCAAACAAAACAAAATCCCTACACTCATGGGCTTACCTTCTAGGTAGGAGAAACCGACCCTGATGTCAGGTGGTTTTTAATACAGTGAAACATAATAAAGAGGCGTGAGGGGTAAGGAGGGGCAGCGTGGACTCTTTCAGTTTGGGTGGTCAGAAGAGATCCCTCTAAAGGGTGACATTTGATCTGAGACCTGAATATAGTAAAGAGGTAAGCTCTGCCAATGCCAGGGAAATACTGTTTTTTAAAAAATATATTTTTATTGATTTCAGAGAGGAAGGGAGAGGGAGAGGGAGAGGGAGGTGGGGGGGGGGAGAGAGAGAGAGAGAGAGAGAGAGAGAGAGAGAGAGAGAGAGAGAAACATCAATGATGAGAGAAATCCATTGATCATCTGCCTCCTGCATGCTCCCTACCGGGGATCAAGCCCACAACCCAGGCATATACCCTGACCAGGAATAGAACTGTGATCTCCTAGTTCCTAGATTTATGCTCAACCAGTGAGCCATGCCAGCTGGGCAGGGGAAATGCTTTTTAAACAATGGGAACAGCATGTGGAAAAACACAGAAGCAGGAACGTACCTGGAGGATTCAAGGGTCCACAGGGAGGCTAGTGTGGCTGGGCCCAAGGGGAAGGGGGGAGATTGCAGGGATGCTCCGAGGGCCTCACACAGGGCCTCAGAGACAGTGGTGAGGGAGATATTCGGGGCTTTGAGCCAAGAGTGACACAGTCTGAGTCATTTTTGTAACATGATCACTGGGTGCCGGGGGTCTTGTCTAGCATCTCGAAGGGTTCAGGAATCTGGAGAAGGGGCTGCTGTAAATTATTAATGAGTCTAGAGACGAAACATAATTTTGGAAGGCATTTTGGGGAGCCAGAGAAGACTTAGCTAAAGGAACCAAGTTCTCTCATCTCTCTGGACCCCTTGCTTTTTATGAACACAAATTGTCCTAAAGCAAGGTAGATATACATATCAAAGGCAAGGTTTAGTATACAGAATCCATTGTCAGATTGGGGGAACTGCCTACGGCTGTTCAGGTGTTTGGCCAGTAGGAGGCAATAACATGTAGATCGAAATGCCCTCAGCTGTCTGGCAGCAGGCAATCATCTATGCAAATCTTTAGGTGTGGGGAAATGACCTTAGCCATTTCCAGCAGGCAGTCCTCAAGGTTCCATCAACCTTTTGATGAAACTTCTTGCATTTATGACATGCTGGAATTAGCTTCCAGCAACTGGACTTTGGTGTGAAGTATACACCGAGTTCATTTATTCAGTTATCACTTATTTACATACTAGAGGCCCGATGCACGAAGTTTGTGCAAGAGTAGGCCTTCCTTCCCTGGGCTGCTGGCATGGGCTTCCCTCCAGCACCCGGGACCTGGGCTTCCCTCCGGCCGCTGGCAGGCACCCAGGACCCGGGCTTCCCTCGCAGCCTCGGCTTTGTCTGGAAGGTTGTTCGGAAGGATGTCTGATCTAATTAGCATATTATGCTTTTATTATTATAGACTAGAGACCTAGTGCATGAATTAATGCACAGGTGAGTTCCCTCTGCCTGGCCAGCGATCAGGGCTGATTGGTGCCGTCTCGCCCAGTCCTGATTGTGGTCGATTGGGGCCAGTGGGTTGTGGGGAGGGACTGTGGGAGCTTGGCCGGTTGTGGGAGGATGGCTGTGTGAGAGTACTGACCACTAGGGTGAAGCTCCTGCGTTGAGCGTCTGCCCCCTGGTGGTCAGTGTGCGTCATACCTACCAGCTGGTCACCTGGTCGTCTGGTCGTAAGGGTTGCTTAGGCTTTTATATATATAGATTCATGAAGTGCACCATGGTCTTAGGTACTGGGGCCTACTGTTAAGGAAAAACAGATGTTACCACTATCTTTGTAGAACTTTCAGCTCACAGTGAAAGACAGATTTAACTTGAGAAATATAAGCCTCAGTGTAAACTTGAAATAATGTCAAGTGGTACTGTAAATTATGTGGTACTCCAAAATGGAGAATAGCGCCAGGGAGGGGGGGGGCATTCAGAGCCCCCGAGAAAGAAGTAATTGAGCTGAGATCTCAAGAAAGACTAGGGGGTCCCTAGCCAGTTTAGCTTGTTGGATAGAGCGTCAGCCTGCAGACTGAAAGATCCCAGATTCGATTTCGGTCAAGGTCATATACCCGGGTTGTGGGCTCGATCCCCAGTGGGAGGCGTGCAGAAGGCAGCTGATCAATGATTCTCTCTTATCACTGATGTTCCTATTTCTCTCTCCCTCTCCCTTCCTCTCTGAAATCAATAAAAATATATTTAAAATAAAAGAATTTTTCTTTCAAAAAAGAAAGAAAGACTAGGGGGAAGGTGGGAGAAAGGTCACACTGGGCAGAGGGAATAGGAGGAGGAGGTGGCGGAGGCGATGACAGTCACGTATCTGGGAGCAGAGTGTGAAGGGGTTGGATCATCCTTGCCAAGACTGTTTTCGTTTTCTGAACACTGTGGAAGATTTCTTGCCATCTGAAGAAGTAGACCATGGTTTGTTTAAGAGAATGTCTGAGGTTCTGGACTGAAAATTTATGAAAGTCAAGAAAAGGAAGATTTGTTTCTGCTTGAAAAATTCTGCGTATTTCAAATGAACTCTTATCCTAATCTCACCTGATTCATTATTTGGGATTAAATTAAATATACAAAACAGGGCCCTGTAATTTTTAGAATTGTATAAAGTGAATAAATGGCAATATATGCATGTGGTTTATATCTTCATACAAAATGGGGTGGTATTAAGTAAAAAGTGAAAGCCCCTCCCAGTCCTTCTCTTGGAAAGTAAATATTATTAACCATTTCTTGTGTATTCTTTCAGATAAAGGTTGTATGTACTTGCACACACACACACACACACATAATATACTTTGATTATTTTTTCCTTAATACTATAGATCTTTTCTTATTTTCCTCATTCTCTTATCTACCTCATTGTATTTAACTGCTAGGTAATAGTCCATCATCTTCTTATGCTGTAATTTATTTAACCAGTCTCCCTTTTTGAAGGATATTTGGGTTGTTTTCCTTGCTTTGCTATTCCAGGTGATGCTGTCTGTAAGTTCAGTCTCACTTGCATTTTCATTCGAAATTGGGTCTCACCTATGGTGCAGTGAGCATTCTTGATGCATACTTTTGTGAGTACAGTCAGGGCAGAGTCTTCGCAGTGGACCCATTGATTCAGAGGCATATTAAGTTTTTGAAAGGTCGGTGGCTGTTTCCCAGTGCGTCATCTAGTGTGGTTGTGCCGGTTTCTATCCACACTGTCATTCTAGAAGAGTACCTCACACCAGAGAGTGTCCAACTTGTGAAACTTTGCCCATTGATGTTGTATTTAAATTAGAGAAATAAGTCCAGTGGCCCTAGTGATGCTGCAATAACCATGTTATATAATAATGTTAATATTGAAACCAGTCTTGGAAGATAAGGCTAAACACAATTATTTATGCATTTTAAACATTGTCTTCCTTTTTCACAGTCATCTGTACAATCCCATTATAACTACTGTTTGATGCTCAGAGGAAGAAATTCCTGGATTTGCCCTAATCAACTGTGGGTCTTTGGCAAATCTCTTAATCTATTTGGTGCCTCAGTTTCCTCATCTCCAATGAGGAAGGTTGAATGAGATGATCTCAAAGACCCGCCATTTAGTTAGGTTTTTTTTTAAAGCCATAATTGGGTGGGTACCTGTGAATCAGTTTCAGAGGACAGACTTTATCATTGTATAGTTTCATTCTACCATATAGTAACTTGAGGTCAACCAGCAAATAGTACTCCCAGAGAGAGAATTACCCCGAAATATTCATTGTCAGGGACGCGAGCAAAGGAAATGGCAACAAAAACAAAACTAATACTCACATGGCAGAAACGTTTCCATCAAATTTTATAGGTTGTAGACTGAAGAAACTGAACCCTTTTACCACCTCTCTCATCTGTCCGGGTATTCTCTGTGAACCCCATTGTACCGTGTTCCCTATCCCCCTTGGTTTGTGGAATGGAAGCTCAAATTTGGCACTGAAAGCTGTCATGACCGTTTCATATCATTGCACTATGAACACAGCGCTGAGCGTGTGAGAACCTCCCTCGGCAATCTGTTGAGCTGGGGTTTCAGGCCCTCACCCCACTTCCCCACCCGCGATATGTGCTGGTCCGGTTGCCTTCAGGCCCTTCCTTACCTCATTTTTGCCAAGGACCTTTATCTGTGACATCATTAAATACCACCTTCTTGTGTTTCTCAAGGGCAAGTTGATCTACTCTGGTTTTCCCAGCTGCTAGCCAGCTTAAGCTCGTTTCCACTTTATTTGGAACGAATCCTATCAGTATCGGAACTGGGACGGCACCACAACATATTGGTACCTCCCAGGAGGTTCTCAGAATGATCCAAAGTTTTTTGTTGCAGCAAAAGCTCACTCAGGAGTCTTTAGGCCGTTTGGCTCAGCCTTGGCTCGTACGTGCCGAGGCTCCGGGCAATCAGCTTGGCTCAGGAGATGGAGTTTGTGCTTCCTTCCCCAGCTTGCTCTTCGGTGCCTGG